TACTAGTTACGTTGAATATTATTTATGAATTTAACTTTATACACAAGTGCCAAAATACTATAATCAGATGATCATTGTAGCTGCTGGTCTTGCAGTTGATTCCATCCATGGCAATCAGGAGGTTCTGGATGGTGTCTTGGCTAACCAGTATAGCTGTCTGACACCTCTTCTTCAGGTGCCTCCTCATTTGTCTCATCTTGCTCTACACAATAAATACTTTCAACATCTTCCTCCTCATTAACTGAATTTAAATGGTTGAAACAATATTATTATTGCCCTTTGACACATCAGTCTTAACCTTTGATTCCTCGTCTAGCCAATGTCAATAAGATATAGTCTTAGTTTGTCAACATGTTCTACATACTTATGCACGCCACATGACTACTGTACCTTGTATGTAATGGATTATCTGTCTAAGGACGAAATAATAATCTGTCCAGCTACAGCTGAGCTGCCAGCACGTACCCAATTTCCATTTTGGAACTTATGTTCCTTGACTGTTTTTATAATATTATTTCTTCTGCCATACAATGGCTCTCCCTAACTGCACATCAAGTAGAATTCATACTAACTCTAGATCCCTCTGATTTTATTCCTGGAGCTTCTGAAGAACTAATCCTGGTATCCAGTCGTTACAGAAATCTGCTACCGTATGGACTGATATTAAAATGGCAGAAATTGCTTTAAATCCTATTTTTTATTCAGGGTAAAAAAATTCATTGAATAGAAAGTGTCTCACTTTGCAGTGGGACAATCCGTTGTTGTTTCTGTAGTCCAAGCTCAGACGATAGACTATGACAAAGTCATACTTCTGCAAAGTTAGTATCCAACCTACACTCATCTCTTCCAGTGTTATTAAAGCTTATAAACTACTTTAAGGTGCATGGTACACTCAGAAGGTGAACATTCTACAATACAAATAGTATCAGTAGTGTGCGATGAAGACCACAATTGCAGTCAGCATTCAGGAGTCATAAGAGTACGACTAGCATATGCAACCATACATTCCACTCCATCCTACAACAATGATAACACACCTCCTATTCCACTGTCATTGGCATCAGTATTCAACAAGAACTCACACTCCTGTTATGAAGATGCCAGCACTGGAGCTTTCACTAAAGTGCACTTTTGGGAAAGGAATACTTAATAACATTTCTCAGTGAATTCATACTGGTAACTATGCCCGTCTTACTGAATAGAAAGTTATGAGCAGTTACTTGAAGTGATTCTGCTACCATTACCCAAAGAAAATGTTTTGGTCCTTGCTTCTGACGTGACATCTTGGTTGAACCATCATTGACATAAGCTGTGGCACAAACATAATGAGCTTACTAGGGAAGCCATGTTCATTCACTGGGAACCAGTATGATTATATTGTAGCACTGATATGTGTTAAATATTTATTTGCTCTAGGCAAAGCTTGAGCTCAGTGAAGAACTCACTTGAGTTGGACAGTATATCCAAAGTACAACCATTGAAGAAGCTTCTGCAGGCTATTTCATCTCTAACGACCTAATTGTGGTCATGACTTTGAACCTTACTGTTGTAGAAACTACCCCCTTAAGACAAGAATATTGTTACGTCACCGTTGTTAATTGATTTTCCGTAACTTCGTACCGACGAAACTTAAGCGACACAAGTCTTTACTTAATAAAACTGGTTTATTCTTTCCGAATATAACTTTACCGATACACTCAACTTCAACAATCGCGTTAAAACAAACGCTAATCAACGAACGTCTCTCGTGCTCTCTGACTGCAGTTCAATTACTCACTGTCAACCCACACATTACATTCCCCTCTTTTATATACCAGCCTACCCTATATCTAGTAAGAACTAGAACATTCGCCAAAGTACATGATAGTTCTAGAAACGTTGCGTCACAGTGTCATGTGACTCGCTGACGCAACAATATCTATAATACCCAAGTGATGTCTCATTGAAGAGAGCCTTGATAAAACTGTCGACTAAGATATTTTCTCAATCTTGTGAACTACTACAGTGATGTGTTACGACAGCGGAAGTCACGTGACGCTGGTAACACGTGACGAGATTCTAGAAGGATCGGGGAACCTCACGAACATCCCAGCGTTTTCTAGACGCCCTCTATTTTTAGTATATAAGC